TTACTTCCTGAGAATAACAGGAGTGCCTGGGGTGGGGTATTGCAGACAGAGCTGGACTGCAGCAGGAGCTTTGAGCTCCGAGAGGATGCGTCTGCCTGTGTGTGTGGCCCAGGGAGCACGGAGGAACAGCTCGGCCTCGCGAGCTCCTTGTCTGCCCTGTGGTTGGTCTGCCGGTGGGGGTGGGGTCCCTTGTTGCTCTGGGGCCCCCAGCTCAGCCTGGCCCGTCAGTTCTGACTGTGCTGTGGGTTATTTCCCTGAAGCTGCGCTGATAAACGTGCAGTGACTCCCTGGTTACCGTTGAAACAGAAACACTCAACCGGCTTTTCCAGTGTTTCTCGACGCCCTTTCCCGGACTGCTGCGGGTGGGGCCCTGCAATCTGGGAGTGCTGGCTTAGTGGGGAAGGCCAGGAATCCCAGTGTGGGAGCATGAGCGTGCACGCGCGCACGCTTGTGTATGTGTGTGTAGGGGGTGGGCACATGGAGAGGGGCTTGTGCACAGAGAGCACCTCACCTTAATGCAGGAGCCAAAGGTCAGATCACTCAGTACTAAAGTGAGAGGGCAGGTCCTTCCCTGCTTAGTGGCCGTGGTTGACAGTGGGGGTCTTAAGTCAGACCCCCCTTTCTGGCTCATCTTTTGGTGGTCACTTCCCCAAAGCAACCTAGCACAGTGAGCAGGCAGTGCAGAGGGTGGAGTGGATTTGGACGGTCAGAGTGGTGGTCCCTTTACTGACTGCCTACCCCTTGCAGGGCCTGTGCTGGGTACAAGCAGTGTGTCTGCATTTGGGTTCCAGAAAATTGCTGCTAATGGCTGAGAAGCCAGTGCCATGATTCCCTTCCCCAAGCTCCTGTGGGATAGGCCTGGGCTGATCATAGCTCTCCCTGCTCCCAGAAGCCCTTGGATGAGGAGAGTGGCCTGGAACACTGTGTCCCCGCTCCCAGATCCCTGCCCCACACCAGCACTCTGTCCGTCAGCCCTGCTCGCCCCTGGGAGTTGTGCAGCCTGAAGCCTGACCGTGTGTTGAATCTGCTGGTGGCCCTGTGCACGTGGCAATGCAGGAAAGCTCCGTTTGGTCTGGGCTGCAGAAGCTGACAGGCTAGTTGGGGAGAAACAGCCTCCTTGTGGGAATGGCCACGCCGGCCAGCAGGTGCGGGTGGGTAGCAGTCCGGTCTGAAGCCAGCAGGTCTGGGGTGTATTTAGTCTGTTCTGTCTGGTAGTGCTCACTCTGCTGCGGCAGCGCTGGTTCTGTCCAGACGGCTGCGTGGAGGCGTGCCTCACTGGAATACCTGGCTGATTTATTAGCGGACTTCAGTTTGAATATGTATCACATTTGAATAAAACTGAGCTGCTTTAAAGAACTTGAGGGACCTTCCACCCATTAAAGGCACGCTCTGGAGGCTCCTTTGGTGATGTGGTTTATCCGTTTAGTTTTTATTTGGAGTTTTGCAAAGGATGCCTGTTTAGAATACCAGGGAGACCCTGTGTAAGCATGATTTGGTGGAGGGGAATCCTGGAGTCCTGAACCCTGGTTCTCTGCGCACACTTACCTTGGGCAGAAGTGGAGGGACCTGGTTCAGCCTATAAAATGGTATGATGCCTCTGGATTGTAGTCAGGAGAGGGGCGACCTACGTGCCCTCGTGTGGCGGTCAGAGCCATGTGAGTCCTGGAGACCAAGGGGCGATGCGCACGGCAGTGGAGGTCTTGGACCCCTGAGCAAGGAGAGGTGTCCTGGTCACCTGTGGTTTTGTTGCTGTGGGTCAGTGAAGGGTGACACTGAAGCTGGAAGTCTTACCAGCATCTTCCTGCCCTTCGGGGGTGCGGGCCAGGTTGGGGTCCACGTTCACTATCAGGCAGCTGGCATCTGTTATTCATGGTTCGTCAGCTTCCTGTAGCCTGGCCCTCGCTCCTCACCCAGTGGGTATGGTGAGACGGGGCTCTGGGGGCGCGGGAGTGTTTAGACCTAATGGGGAGCGCCTCAAACCCAGCAGGGGACTCCCCGGAGTGGATGCTGGGGGTTTGAGGATCTTCGTGTTTTCGTATCTGCTGTCGTTGGTTTTGCTTGTGTTGGGTGCTCTGTAATCATTGGCTTCTCATGGCTGCTACCTTTTAATTAATTAATTATTTTAGGGGAGGTGCTGGGGATAGAACCCAGGACCTCATGCATGCTAAATAAGCACGCGCTGTCTGTACCCTCCCCATCTCTTTTAATTATTGTATTTATTTTTTAAGGACTTAGTATTTTTAGAGCAGTGTTAGGCTCACAGCAAAATCGAGAAGAACCGTAGGGAGAGCTCCCACACACCTCGTGGCCTCCAGCCATGCACAGCCACCTCCGCTGCATTTTTTACAGTTGAGGAACCAACAAAGACCAGAGTATCATCCACAGTGCACAGCTTACGTCAGCGTTCACCTTGGTGTTGTATGTTCTGTGGGTTTGGACCAGCGTATATTGACATGTCTCCATCATTACAGCATCGGACAGAGTAGCTTCACTGCCCCAAACCCCCCTGCTCTGCCTGTCTCTCCCCGCGTCCTGCCCACTCCGAGCGACCACAGATTCTTTAACTGTCTCCACAGGTTTGCCTTTTCCAGAACGTCGTATAGGTAGAATCGTGCAGTCTGTAGCCTTTTCACATTGGCTTCTTTCACTTAGCAATGTGCATTTACGTTGCCTCCATGTCTGTTCATGGCTTGAGAGCTCATTGCTTTTTTTCTTTTTAATTTATCTTTATTGAAGTACAGTCAGTTTACAATGTTGTGTCAGTTTCCGGTGCATAGCACAGGACTCAGTCACGCAGGAACACACGTGCGTTCTCATATTCTTCACCACAGGCTACTACAAGATACTGAATGTGGTTCCCTGTGCTCTGCAGAATAAGCTTGTTGAGAGCTCATTGCTTTTTAGCACTGAATGTACTCCACTGTCTGGGCGGACTAGTTTCTCTACTTGCCTCCTAAAGCACATCCCAGTTGCTTTTGGGGACTCCTCTTTTAAACTTGGTCCTGGTCTGGAACGGGGCACGGGGGCGGGGCAGGAGCAGGACAGCTTTGTTGGCAGTTGTAAGCGCTGTGTCCGCCTTGTGCCAATGAACTAACTTCTTTAGGTCTTGGAGAGGCAGCAGCTTTGGGGGAGTCTGCGTACGAAGTGTCATCGGGCCTGGATCGCACATCGTCTTAGCTTCTGCTCTGGGCAGGGGAGGGGGCCGGAGAGGCGGTGTGCGCACCCTCACGGGGTTTCTTGCCAAGAGCCCCTGCCAGCAGCCCCTCCAGGCGAGGACCACACCCCTGCTGGGGGGCTTGGGCTCTGGCTGCTGCTGAATTGTTGCCTTTGATTTCGTCTGGATGCAATATTCGAGCACTAACAGCACACTGTGTGTGGCTAGGGCGGGCAGGGCCCTTGGATTGAGAGATTTCTGGCTCCTACTGACAGAGGACTCTGTTAATGGTTGTGAGCATTGTCACTATTTTTACTGCCTTCCCGATAGACCGCTTGGCATGGCGCCCAAAGGTGAACTTGCAGTGAGAACCGGGGCAGCTCCACCCTGTTTGCTGGGCACACGTGGGGCAGTTCTCACTTGGGAACGGCAGGTGTGCCTGGGGGCAGCGCCGCTCACCTTAGACACAGCGGGCACCAGCCTCCGGGCCTCCTCGAGGGTTTCTGTGCTGTTTGGGCAGCAGAACAGTTGATGCTGACCCATCTGAGGGCAGGACCGAGACGCCTTCTGTCTGCTCTCGTTTTCACAGGGGTCTGAGAACCCTCTAGACTTTTATGCAAAATGTAGGGGGAGGGGTACATGATTGTGAATTTTTCTTGGAGAGGTCCTCCAGAGAAGGCCTCTAGCCTGAAACGCTCACAAGCTCCTGCTGTAGAACCTCAAAGCCTTTTTATGTTTAACCATCATTTGTTGGAAGAGGCATGATTATCTTTATTCTGTTTATTTTGTTCCAACAAGTATTTACTGGGTGCTTGCTGTGTGCCAGGCAGCATTCTAGGCATTGGGAGCACATCACTGGGGCGAGACATACCAGCTGCCTGCCCTGTGAGGTGTGTCGCTTACTGGGATGCAGATCAGAAGCAAGTGAATCCAAACCTGATGTTAAGTAGTGGAAAGGGCTGTGAAGAAAACCAGAGGAGGAGGGGGCTCCAGGCTGTTGGGGGTCTGGTGGATGGGGGTCAGGGAGGGCCTCTCTGAGGAGGTGACACTGAGCAGAGACCCTGGCAGGAGAAGTCTGGGTGGAGGGAGCCCTGGGACCATGCCCGGCTTGAAGAACAGCCCCAGGACCGATGTGAGTGGAGTTGGGGGTGGGTGACGAGGTTGGAAAGGGCTCAGAAACCAGGGTGAGCAAGTGCGGTGGGCAGCCTGGGGGGTTATTACCCTTCAGGCTGATGCTGGGACCATGAAGGGACCGTCCTTGTGAGCAGAGCGGAAGCCGGTGTCCCCCTTCCTAAAGAGGAGCCCCGGGGTGCGGAGCAGGGTGTCTCCTCCCAGAGCTGGGAGGTTGCGGAGGTCTTCGGCCTCCAAGTCCAGTCCTCTCTGCTCCCTCGTGGTGAGACCCGCTGTCCCTGGTACCTAGTGCTGACATTCAGCCCCAGTCCCCCCCCCCCGCCCGCCCCCAGGCACGCTCTCCCCTCTCTCCACTACCTAACATCAGATTTGGATTCATTTACTCGTGATGTGCACCCCAGTGTTGTCATTCCTGCTGCAGAGTCTCCCTGGTCTGGTGGTTCCGGGAATGCTGGAGATGTTGGGCCCAAAGGTCAGGCCCTAGGATGAAGACTTGGGGTTTGGTAACAGGTTCACGGCCGGGCTGGGAAGTGCTGTGTTTCCTGACAGCGGGGCCCTGCCTGTCGGTCTCACCTGCTGTGTGTCCTCACCCTGACGTCCTGAGTGGCGGCGCGGGTCTGGCCAGAGCTTCTGACCCCTCAGAAGGGCCGCTTGATTTCCCCTCCCCAAATGAAAATTTCCCAGCTGTCCTCGGGGCACAGACCAATAGCTGAAAACTCCTGGCTCAGTGAGCTTCCATCTAGAAGGACTGGCGTTCACAGCAGCCCTGTGTTCTAGATTCTCTGAGGCGGGGACGCTGTGGAGCCACCGGGAGCTCTGCGTGGCCTCCCTCTCTGGACCTCCCACGCTGCACTAACACTGTCCCTCCGAGGCTTGCTGGAGGGTGGGGTCTCACCATTTGTGGTCTTTTTGATGGAGAAAGACTGCAGATGAGACTCCTGGGGAAGTTGATGGGGTGATGGCAGACCTCACCAGAGTGTCCGTAAGGTTTAAAAAAAAAAAAGTGGTACCTCTTTAATTGCAAGCACTCACCTGAAGTCTGGGCCAGAGAGGAGAGAAGCTGAGGGAGGCAGGGGTGGCTGAGAAGAGAGAAAAGATAAAAAATAGGTGTATCATATGTTCCCAACAGGGGTGATCGCACCCCACAGAGCAGAGGCTGTTTCTGGGGGAGGGTGCTGAAAACATCATAAGTCTTACTGTATATATAGCCCAGCCAAGGTTCACATAGGACACAGACAGATGCACAGTTTATCTGCTGTGATAACATTTCTTTCAGGGGGTGGCAATTAGAAAAACTAGGAAAGCTCTTTCAGTAATGGGAACGAGCTGAGAAGCAGTGGTGCACGGAGGTGGGGGGCTGTGTGACAGCTGCCTGTCTCTGCTGGCTGGCCCAGAGGGTCCCTTGAGGGGAGCCATCGTGTTCAGGCAGATTTACAAATAAGTAGATGAGGACCAGGCCCAACCTTCCCTGCAAGGCCCTGTGGTCTGGGAACCTGAGATGGACAGAGTCACAGAGTCACGATTAACATCAGCCATGACCTATGTCAGGTCTCCCGAGTCCTAGCTCTCACCTGTCCCCTCTCTGAGCCGGCTTGGGAGAGCCAGCTGGACAGGTGGCACCAAGCAGACTCAGAGTCTTTAAGGAGCCAGTCGTGGCGTCAGAAGAGTGGGAACAGTAAGGCAGGTGGAGATCTCGCCTTGTTCCTCCTGGCTCCGGCTTTGTGGAGAGGTGGGGCATGGAGGCTAGGCCTCGTGCAGGTCGGGAGCCTTTCCTGCAGAGGGCGGGGCTTGGCCCTTTGGCTCGGATGTCCCTGTCATCTGGAGCAGAGGGCCGGGGGCGTCTGCACACCCCATGGTCTCTTGACATGTGAGGTTTGCTGTGCGCACTGGCCCAATGGGGTGGGGTCCAGTGGATGGAGCAGTACCCGCGGGCAGGCGACTGGCTTTGATGTGGCCCCTGCGTGTGCTGGGGTGGCAGGCGCGTCACAGGAGTAGGCAGCAGAGCGTCGTCATCTCTTTCCCAACGTGTTCTTGGAAATGCACTTGTTCTGAGAGAATTAGGAAACGGCCTTCTATTTTGGGAGCTCTGTGTGTAGAGCATGTCATTGTTTCGCGTGCCCGTGGGCCCTTTGAAGGGTCGTGTTGGCAGAGGAGGTGGGAGGGTGCGAGGAGGCTGGCCCTGCGCAGGGGAGCCCAGGACTGATGAGTCACGCTGGGTGCTCTGGGCACAGCCCGGCGTCGGACGGGGGAAGACAGGCCAGACCCGAGCCTGGGCCCCGCAGGAGGAAGGAAGGAAGCCTGGGGCAGCAGATGCCCTTGGGAGGTTAGGTTTTGGGAATTGTCTTCTTAGGAGACGTAGTTCCGATGTGCGCTGGAACTCGGGGGAGGGCCGAGTGGGGGAACGGGGTGCAAAGCAGCGGGCCTGTGTCTGTTTGAGGTGACATGTAGGATTCTGAGAGAATCCGCGACCTTCCCTGCACAGATGTCACTGTGGTACTGTCGGGGACAGCGAGTTTCCAGGGTGGGGGTGGAGCCGGGACCCACTGCCAGACTGCTGCTTCCACCGTGTGCTCCTCCTCCTCTGTAATGTCATCTGCTCATTTTCCAGCAAAAAAGAGGAAACAGTGTTCTCTGGGGTGGGCCTGAAACATCCAGGGCCTCTGAGGTTCTCCCCTGCACTGGCTTCTAGCAGACGTTGCCTGTCTGGCCCGGAGGCTCCTAAGCCCCCAGGAGGGCTTACGTCTGGTGCCCCTGTGAGCTTCGCAGTCTTACGTGTCAGCCTGAGCTCAGGACAGTCGTGTGGCCCTGGGGAGGCAAGGCCCAGCTTGTCTTCAGGTAGATGCAGCGTGGAGTACCCTGTTCTTAACACCATGTCCCTCATCACCCCATGTAGCAGCCCCTGTCTGCTTAGGGGAAGGCATCGCTGTTCCCCCACCTGCGGGTTAGCTGGCTGCTTTCCTGAGAAGCGGGTGTGAACTGAGCTCTGGTAGGCTGCTTTTGTCCCGTGCCTGTGGAGGGACAGTGGCCAGAGTGGGTAGCATTCTCGTGGCCAGGACGTGGCTGAGGCAGTGCAGGGAGTAGAGATGAGAGGTCCTGTGCGCTCTGGGAGGGGCTCTGGTGAGCATCGGGCAGAGGGTGAGGATAGAGACTGAGCACGGGCATCACCAGATTCCCTCTAAGAACCCACTTCTCGTCCTGCTTGGAAAAGAGGCCACAGCGTGCAGCACAGCAGAAAGAGAAGCTGTTCCCCCACAGCCAGGCTGCCCCCCAGACCCTGCGGGCCCAGCGCCTCCCGCAGCACCCAGGGCTAGGGCACACGTGGCTGCAGGTAGCCCTGGGCGGAGAGCGAGCCCTGCGTCAGCCTGTTACCTGGTGTCTTGTTCACGCAAACCCCGCGGTGGGCTGCCCCCTCTCGGGTTGGTGCGCGGCGTGGAGATGCGGTGGCAGGTGCCGTGCTTACTTCCTGTCTGCACGTTTCCTTTTCCCTGCAGGCCTCTGGCTGTACCTGACAGGGAGCAGCCTGCCCTGTCTCACGTTGATTGGCTCTCCTAATTTTGGGTACAGGTCAGTTCACCGGGACCTGGAGGCCCAGATCGCCATCGTGACGGAGAGCCGGGCCCTGCAGCAGCAGCTTCACCAGGTTGGTTGGGGCCAGTGGGACCTCCCGGGGGGCTGGGGGCATAGCTGGGGGCCGGGTCCCCGAGGGCTGCCTCCTGCCACCATCTCCTGCTCATCTGGGGCTAAGCAGAGCAGGAAAGAACTGGGGTCCTCTCGAGCCTGCTGGGGCTGTTCCTGGGGGAGACCTGCTGCAGGGCCATCCTTCGAGGGTGCTGGCCTTTCTGCCTCCAGCCTGGGTGCCCTGTGCCGCCTACGTCCTGGGGGACATGTTCATTCCCTGCACGGGAAGGGAACACCGCTGTCTCCCTGGGATGTGAGCGCAGCGCTGGTTCCCAGCCTCTTCTGAGTCTGCGGATCACCTGTGAAAGGGGTTAGGAGCCGTGGTGGCTGAGGACCTGGGCCTGTTTGGGAAGAGTTTCAGGCAGCATCTGCTGTTCTTGAAAAAGACCCCCCCAGGAGGTGCCTCAGAGTCGAGGGGGAGAGAGGCGTAAGGAGAGGACACCCCTAACCCCAGACAGGAGGGCGCACAGGGAGCCAGAAAAGAGCCAAACCGGAGAAAGAACTTGGAGGCCGGTGCAGACGGGTTAATGGGCTGAGCCACTGCAGGGCTTTGACAGCCAGCTCACATTTCCTGTGCCCTTGAGCCAGCATGCACGGTCCTTCTGCACTAAGAACTTGGATTCTATTCATTTTACTTCTATTTTATTTGCTTAAAGTTGTTTGAGACAGGGGAGGATATAGCTCAAGTGTTAGAGCGCATGCTCAGAGTGCATGAGGTCCAGAGTTCAATCCCCAGCATCTCCTCTAAAAATAAATCAATCTAACCCCCCCCTCAAAAAAAATTGTTTGACTTGGTAGTGACCTGGTTTGGGGTTGAATACACAGGAGATGATGGAGGTGTGTCTGGCCTGCAGCAGGGGCCCCTGTGGTGTGTGGGTGGGGTCTGGAGGTGGGCAGTGTGCGGGACCCAGTGGAAGCTCGTGGGCTGTGTCTGCCTTCTACTGTGTCGGGCAGGTGACAAGCAGGCCTCTGTTTCCAAGGTGTCTTTCCTCATGCTCGTAGTTGTAACAGGCTTTCTTTCCTTGCGGCCGTGAGGGGGAAGGCAGGCATCCTTCTCGGGAGTGCGGAGGTGGGGAGGTGGGGCTGAGGGAGAGCCTAACCTGCTCTGTCTGGCTCAGCAGCCTGTGGCCCCCGGGCACCTCCTGCTCCACTGGAGGAGACTCCCCAGCGGCCTCGTGGGAGAGCAGCCCTTTCTCCCCAGCTGGGGCTGGGGTGTCGCGGGGGCAGGGCCCTGAGTCCCTGCTGCCGGCCAGCCGGGGACCCACGGTCGGGTCCAGGGAGGCTGGGGGGGCACATGCTTTGCTGACCCAGGTAGGAAGGGAACGCAGTGGTGATTCCCAAGAGGGCAGGCCTCCTTCCGCGATAGCGGTTGTTCATTTTCTGTTTAAAGTCGAGAGCAACCATGGGTGCCTGGGATTCCTTAGTGCTTTTACGTGAATCTTTGCACCTGGTTGCCTGCAGGGCTGACAGACTTTTGAGAAGTGTGCGTGCATGAAACCTGGATGATCCCTGGGGCTCAAGAATTTGTGACCTTTACAACAAAGCCTTTCCAGGGGAGGTGTGGGCTCCCCACCTGAGTCATGGAGGCACAGGCAGCACTGCCCTAGGTCGGCCCTCGGGGCGTCAGCCCCTGTTAAGCTTTTATTCTCCAGTGTTTGGGAATTGCTGTTGCGAAACTGTTGGAGCCTTTGTTGATGGATGAGGAAATGGTAACTGCCTTGTTCCCTGGGATCTGCCTCCTGCGATCTGGGAATCTTGTCAGTGACTGAATGGGGCCTCCGTGCCGGGAAGGGCTTCATGACCAGGGCAGAGAGGAAGTGGCAGTGGTGGGCCCTGGGTGGCCGGCGGGAGAATCTGATCTGCTCAGCAGATCACAGATGCTCTGGTGAAGCTTCCAGCAAATGGCCCAGGAGGTTCCAGTAGACGCCGACTGGCCTCAGAGTGGGCTGGGGCAGTGCGGGGAGGACAGACCAGCCTCAATGCCAGGATCTCTGGGACTTTCACTCGGTCGCTCAGAGCTGGGTTTGCACAGACAGTAGACAGTGGTCAGTGTGAATGTGGCCTCGGGCCAGGACCAGGTCTCCATGAGTCTCGGTTGATTTAGGGGAGCAAGTCTCTGCCCAGGGTCCTGTGCAGGCCCCTCTCCACCACTTCCTGAGTAAGGGGACTGAACCCACATCCTGGATCTTGAGAAGAGCTGGGCCGGTTGTGGTCAGGAGCTGCTTTCCCAAGTGACATATTTGGGATATTTTCTTTTTCTTTCCAAACCTGAATCCCAGGGGCTTTGGATGGTGGGAGGGTGCCATGCAGCCCTTCTGTTCTTTAGAGGCACATTGATTTCTCTGCCTTTGAAATGCAAAAATGCATTTCTGGATAATTCCACCTGTGTATTTATATACTGGGACTGCAGCCACCCTCTGGAGAGGCCCATATGCTGCCCGGTCCTGGGACTGTCTGGCCGCACAACCTCCCACAGCCCGGAAAGTCCCCAAAACCCCGCTGCCTCGGTTCCTGCTCTCAGAAGCCGCCTCTGGAGTCCTCCCTGGGACACAGGGAAGGGCCCTGTTCATGTCACAGTGGGCACCGGGGTGGGGAGATTTTTTTTTATCCGAATCCGAAGTCCCTCCCTTTTACTCAGTACATACAGTAAAAACTGAAAGCTTCCTGGTTTTGTTCGGAGAACACAGTTTACCACTCGTGACCTCAGACAGACTCTCTTGAACGGCATTGTAACCCCCATCAGCTGACTTCCTTCTGTGTCCCTACGTGGAGTCTGGGAGGAAACTTAAGTGTTTCTGGTAATTTAATTGAAATCTTGGCTGCGTATTCATTTGAAAACATAAAGCTGGAGCCGGGTTTGTGGAGACTTCAGCAAAGCAGCCCCCCGAGCCCAGGGCTGGCTCCTCTGTCGGCCATCCAGCTGTGGTCAGCGGGCAGGGGGTGTGGAGCGGCGCGGGTCTGCTCGGACCGGAGGTGCTGGGGACCCTGGCCCTGGGAGCACCGCGTTCTTGACCAGGGAGTCGACGTGGAAGACTGCAGCGAGTAAAGAATTTCTCCAACCCTTGACGGGAAGAGCTGCAGACAGATTCCGTAGTGTTCTGGAGGGCAAGACGCCCTCCATCCCCTGTCCTCACGGGGGCAGAGGAGTCTGCCAGGAACACGGCTTCCATTCCTGCCCCCGGAGGAGGGAGTGTCTAGCGCCCCGTGGTGGGGGTGGTACCATTCCGGTGCTTCCTGGTGTTTCTGGTCCCGCAGGGGACAGTTTTCCAAGCTGCTGCTGTGGGGTCCTCACGATGGCATGGGGTGGTCAGTACGTGCTACTTGAAGGGATGTAAGATTCAGAGAGGGCTGTCCCGGCCTCTGGCGGTGGAAGCAGAGTCACACACCCTGACCGCTGCCTCCTGCCCTTCGAATGCGTCCATACCTCATTAAGGAAACAGCACTTTTGTCGGGAGTCAGTGTTTTAAAAAGAGGCAGTTTCTCCTCTCAAAGATTCTAAACACAATTCAAGATAAGACTTGTATCAGTGTTTTTTAATTAACTTGTTTTAAAATATGAAAATAATTGTTCAAGGTAAAATGAGAAAAATGAGAAGATCCTAACCCTCTCACCCGGAGAGACCGGCTGAAATCGTTTTGGTCGTTCCTGGCCGGTCTTGTTCTGCGTGCACGTGGAGAGGCGTGCCTTTTCTTCTTCATGGAATTAAGATTATGTTGTGTATGTTAATTCATGTCCGGTGTCTTTCACTTAATATATTGTGCACTTTCCATATCACTAAGAACATGTTCTTCTAGAAGATGATGATTTTATGGTGAACGCTGGTGTTTATTATATTTGGTTGTTGGACGTTTAGGTGGTTTCCAGTTCTTCTGTTACAAACATCGGTGTGATAAATACCAGTGCACAGAAACCTTCGTGCGTGGTTTTTTTCTTGGGATAAACTCTTGCAAGTGGAGCTTTTCAAGGCTTTTGATACCTGTTGCCAAATCGCTCTCGAGACAGATGATCCGACCTCCCCTTTCCATCAGCAGCGTCCGAGGGCATCTGCTCCCTCTGCCTTTATCAGCAGGGAGTGATGCTATTACAAAATTACCTTTTGCCAGTTTGAGAGGAGAGAAAAAGAACTGTCTCGTTAAAAAAAAAAACTCATTATTTTAACTGGCACTGTATCAGTTAGGGAGGGTGAACTTTTGGACAGTTTTTCCACCAGCTGTATTTTTTCCACTCTGAGTTGCCTGTTCCACGTGCGTCTCTGTCCTCGACGTGCAGACATCCTGGCTTCCCTAGCTTTTCGAAAGCGTGTGTACAGGGCCACCCGCCCTGGCCCCCGAGCCTCTGGGCCGGCCAGACATGTGGAGTCGGACACCCGGCACGGTTGTGACTCTTAACTCCTGTTTGTATCTCCCCCCCAGGAGCAAGAGCAGCTCTACCTGAGGTCAGGTGTGGTGTCCTCTGCCACCTTTGAGCAGCCGAGTCGGCAGGTGAAGCTGTGGGTGAAGATGGTGACGCCACTGATTAAGAACTTCTTCTGAGGACAACAGGTGCGGACCCCAGCCCCCCAGTGCGGTTTCCCAGGGGCTCACGGGGAAGGCGGGGGTGGGAGCGCTCCACTCGGCGGCTTTCCGGGGCGCTTTGTCCTTGGCTATGACCAAGGGGCGTGTGTCTGGAGTGGCAGACGGTTCTCAGTGCCTCTGAAGCCTGCTTCTGAGTTAGGCGGCCCTCTCATCTTCTGTCAGGTCCCAGCTCTCCGCGAATCCCAGGTCCCGGGGAGGCAGCGGTGGGGTCCATGTCTGGGTGCGTGTCTGTCCTCCTGTCCCTGGGGCTGGGGACTCTGCGCCTCCCGCCTCCCGCGTGTTCCTGAAGGCTTGTCGCCCGGGCAACTGCAGCTGCGGGGATGAGAGTGCGGGTCAGACCCTGGGGCTGACGTTCCTGTGACTCGCTCTTGCGGAGACACGCTGTCCTCCGTGCTGGCAGCTCTGCCCACCCAGGAGCCTGCCCTGCGCAGAGGCTGCCGGCTGTGCTCCCAGGGGATGAGATGAGGCCTGACCTGAGTGGCCTCTGGGCTCTCCGGACGCTGGGGAGCCGGGCAGGATGCGGCTGCCATTAGAGCTGGGGTCTTTCCTCAGTGACCCTCCATGTTCCAGATCCCTTTGGACCTGGACCTCAGCCCCAGTGGCCCCGGGTGGGATGTTCTGAGATAGACCCTGCTAGCCCAGCCCACAGCATGGTGGGGTCAGGGAGGGAGAGGCTGCGTGAGGACGAGGTCCCGAGGTGTGGGGCTGAGCGCGTTGGCTCCGTGCGGAGTGTGTTCCGCAGGGCCTGGTACCTGCCCCTGGTTCTCTTCTCACCTTCATTTTGAAGGACTGTTTTCTTCTATCATTTTTAGTTTTTCTCAACATTTTAATTGCTTTTCATTTTATTCAACTATCACGCACATTTAGAGGGTAAATGATACCAAAAGACCAGCAGTGCAGCTGTTCCTGTCCTTCCTGCCCTCCAAGCAGCCACTTACAGTCCTGTCATCTGTTCCCTCTGATCCTTAGCCTGCGCTCCGCCCCTGCCCCCAGCGTCTCCAGGAGCAGATTCCAAAACCACTGCCCAGTCCACATGTCCAGGCGCTTGAACCTTGCACAGAGAGAAGGCCTCGCAGCCCCAGGGCACGCAGCCCGTCCTCGGGGGCGAGGCGAGATTCCGTTCCTGCCCGTTGCTTCCTGTGCCCCCCCGGGAGCGGGCGGTTAGCCCTGACTGCAGTGCCTTGCTGCGTGTGGAGGGGCTCCAGTGCTGGGCGCACCTCCTCTTAGACTAGGCGCAGCCACAGCCCCTCCCCCGGGGCCGGGCCCATCTGCCGGGCTCTGTGGTTGCGAGTCGGGTAGAGTGGTGGCCACACCGCCCTGGGGCAGCGGCACATCAGTTAACACTGTTTGTCTTCAAACCAGTTATTAAATTGTCCTGTGGGACAATTAGAGGAGGAAAGCCAAAAGCATGTGCTAGGGCCCTGGGCTTCTGTCTGGAGAGAGGCTTTCAGTAAGTGGCATTTGCGTCCCTGCAGCTGCTGTGGGACC